AGACACAGACACAGACACAGACACAGACACAGACACAGACACAGACATCGACATTCTTTATTGGTAAAATTAACATTTACAAGTCATAAAAAATTATAAATTATATTCCTATTATTTTCCTATATTACTATTCTAGGTACGGACAACGACACATCACACTAAACATTTTTGTTCGAAAATCGCCTCCAGTGCAACGGAGCAAGATACGTCAATATGTAGCTTGATGTGCTGGCGTGTGTACAATCAAAATTATTCAATTATAATTAATTATCCCACATTAACATTATTTAACCTATGTGATAAATTGGCACCATGATGGGTGGCACAAACTTCGGGAGGTCTATACCCAGCAGTGGGTGAAATTATGCTGTGGATTATTATGTTGATGTGATAAACTATACATTGATTGCTTTTTTTTTGTATACGTGGCGTGCGCTATAAGTTTCCGGAATGAATAAGAAAAAATACTATCTCTATAATGGTCAGAAATTAATTTATTGTTTCTCAAAATATTCTTCATTGGCGTGGATGCACTTTTTCATAGGAATGAACCAATTTTGAAAACATTTATGCCACTCCTCCGTGATAATCTCGGAGTTTGTCAATAACTTCCGGCAAACAAATGGTCGTGTACCAATCACTATTTACGGTACAAAGATTCTTCAAAGCAACAGTAGCCACATGTCCAGTTTTATAAAAAAAGAAGCAATCATCCGCCTAGAGGAACTTTGCACGCGCGTCACTTTGGTTGGTTTCGGCTCATCTCGGAAGACCTATACGGTCGATTGCTGCTTTGTTTTGGGATCGTAACTATAAATCCATGTTTCGTCACCTGTTACTATATCCCACATCAAATTTGACGCCTTTTCGTTGAATCTGTTAAGCATAACATGGCACCAAGTGACGCGATCCGTTTTCTAGCCTCAGTCTAATTGTGAGGGATCCACCGAGAGCGCAGCTTGTTCACACCCAAATAAATAAATAACGCACAAACTCAACATAGCCCCGCACTAGGGAAACCCTGAGTCACGGGTGCCATGGACACACACATAGACAACCACAAATTACATCCAAACTCACGAGAGAAATAATTGTAGGCCATACAACTATTTCTCCCGGCCCGGGAATCGAACCTGGGACCTCTGCGTGGCAGTCCGGCATGGTAACCGTTAGGCCACCGAGGCAGTTTATAAGAATGTTTGTATAGTATTGATTGTATATGCCTAAAGATGACCGAATCTCATGGTATGTCACATGCCTGTCTGTTGTGATCAAACGGCGCACAGCATCGATGTTTTTATTGTTCACAGCAGTGGACGGGCGACCATCACGAAATTCGTCACTGAGATTCACATGACCGTGTTTGAATTTTGTAAACCAGCTATAAATAGTCGTCTTGCATGGTGTTTCGTCGCCAAATGCAGTTTGAAGCCGAGCAAAGCTCCGCTGAGCTGTTAACTTACACTTAAAGTCGTAGAAAATCATACTACGAAAATGTTCACGAGTTAAATCCATGGTAATGTAGACAACCAATTTCTAAAATGAAGCCACAATCTAAAAACAAGTAACAGTCAGATGAAACAAACTGTATTCTACAGCCAAAGAGTACCATTTTCAAATGTTGTAATTACTTTTTAAATATGGTTTATGTAAGTGGCCAGTTCAGGAAACTTATAGTGCGCCCTATGTACAGGGTTATTTAAAAAAAACTAACAATCTTTCAGGATTACAGTACCGGCATACACCGGACACTCCATATAACGGTCGAAAGTTATTTACCTACTACTACTACATTCAGCAAGGCGCTATCTGCACACGCGCAAATGTGTGCGTGAACTGGCAGGGTTACTCATCACTTTCTCGTACAATTACGTTACGTAGTCAGAGCGACAACATAGTGAAAGTCAAAGTCAAAGATTATTTATTCCCTAGGTAAAATAAATTTACACTTGAAAACGTCACATTTAAGTTACTGCTCATTCGCTACGCTGACCTCCATGAGAAGAGCGAGCAAGAAACTAGAGATTGCTCTTTTCAAATAAACTTAAATGCTATGGAATACACTTTGAATCAAATTTGTGTCTTTCCATACATCTTTATCTAACACGTAGTCTTCAATTTTGTAATATGATTTTGTAGTTTATAAACTTAGGAAATGATAAACTTAATATATGCTCCGGAATTTTATTGTATAAACTTATACAGTACCCTATAAAAGAGTTGTTTACCTTGATTAAACGAAACCGTGGTACCATGAGTTTGGACTTAGCTCTAAGGTTAATATTATGGATATCTTCTTTCTTATTGAAATTATGTATATTTTTACGGGCATATAAAATATTTGAGTAAATGTACTGTGATGCCACAGTCATAATACCAGTCTCCTTAAACTTTTCTCTGAGAGATACCCGAGAGCCTAGACGGTACACAGAACGAATCGCTCGGTTTTGGAATACAAATATGGTTTGAATATCTGCCGCTTTACCCCACATGAGAAAAAGATGCGAAAATTATTAAGCGAATCTGTTATCCTTAATTCTATTAATAGAATCCTAATAACTACACATGTTCATTACGTATTTATATCGAGTAAGTAAGTTTAATATGACATTTTTCATTAATTGTCTAACTAGAATAATATTGAAGATTTATTTAAAAAATATATTAAAAGCACTTAAAATGTTGTATTTTGGAAAGCTACTTTTAAATAAGGTAACCAAGGTATTTGAAATTGCGTGTCCAGTTTATCATTACCTGCTTAATAATTAGATATATTCACTACGTAATATTTATCGGCAATACAAATTGAAAATTCGAGAACCCTTGTCTACTAGCTCACGAAATCATGGAGTCTCGTTATATAATAGGGGTTAAAGTATGAAATTGCCGATTTGTACTGAAAATCTAAATTGTTTATTTTTTAAATTTTGAACAAATTTATTTAATCAAAATAGTTGCCATTATTATCTATACATTGCTGCCATCTAATGGGAAGGTTATTAATGCCTTTGCGATAGAACTCCGACGATCTAGACTGCACAAACTGTGTGAAAGCATTTTGTACTGCCTCCTGGGAAGAAAACTTCTTGTCACGTAGATAATTGTACAAATCACGAAAAAAATGGTAGTCCGTCGGAGCAAGGTCTGGTGAATACGGAGGATGACGAATGGTTTCTAACTGCAGTTCCTGAAGGGTCAAAATGGTTTCTCGTGCTGTGTGAGGTCTCGCGTTGTCGTGGAGCAATAATGGTGAAGATCGATTCATGAGTCGGGGCTGTTTTACTGCTAGTTTTGTCAACATGGTTCGGAGTTCGGCACAATAGACATCTGCCGTTATTGCTTGACCAGATCGGAGAAAACTATAGTGAATAACACCATGCTGAGACCACCAAACAGTTACCATTACCTTTTTATTGGTAAGTTTTGCTTTAGGACGCTGTTGTGGCATTTGACCTGGGGTCAGCCATTGCATTTTTCTTTTCCGGTTATCATAAAGAATCCACTTTTCATCACATGTTACAATTCGATCCAATATTCCTTCATTTCTGTACCGGTTCAACAAGGCAACACAAGTTTCAACACGCGTTTCTTTCTGCAGATCAGTCAAATCATGAGGCACCCATTTTTCGTATTTTTTTATTTTATTGATTTGACGCAAGTGAGTCAATATTGTGGGTAAGGTAACGTTAAACCATGCCGCTAATTCCTGGGTAGTTTGACTAGGATCGGCTTCCACTATCTCTCTTAATTCATCGTTATTCACCTGTGTGGGCGGTCTTCCTCGTGGCTCGTTCTTTAAGTCGAAATTTCCATCACGAAAGCGTTTAAACCAAAATCGCACGGTGCGTTCATTAGTAGACCCCTCTCCAAACGCAGCATTGATATTGCGGGCTGTTTCTGCCGCGTTAGTTCCGCGTCGGAACTCGTATTCAAAAATCACTCGAATTTTCGCAGTATCCATCTTTCTTGTCTAAATTGAATAACAAAAACAATTGAAAGTCGATATTCAAATGTTTCAAATTTAAAAAAAAAAATCACAGAAACCATTTGAAAAAAGTTTCAGTCGAAAACCTCAAACCATGAAGATTCTATGAAAATTCAAAGAACCTATTGCAATAAAACGGCAATTTCATACTTTAACCCCTAATATTACTCTGCAGTAAATAAATAAAGAAAACAATAACTGAACGAGTCTCAGACATAAGTGTTTTCATCTTCGTTTCATCATTCGGAAAACGAAAGAACTCTTCACATAAATAGCCGTACACAGCACAATTCAATACCATTATAAATATTAACGTACAATGATGTTATATATTAACGTCAAGTTTCGTAATGAATAAATGAAAACTATATTCAAATTTCAAAGCCGTCTTAGCGCGAAAATGGCTGGCCGACGGCCTTGTTGTCATTCAGTCAATGTGGTGCGGTATCTAAATCTAGGGAGGGGCGGAAAGTATCTATTCTTGTTACTTTTTTGTTCTCTGGTACCGGCACGCTATAATGGCCGTTTTGACAGATTACAATAGTGAGGTCAAATCTCAATTCATTATCGAAAAAAATATAATTAAATGCGATTCGCTTCTATAAGTTTTTAGATTTGTAATTAGTTGCAAAGGGTAGCTGATTAAAAAGTTTTAATAAAACGAAAATAAAATTGTTAATATGTCGTATCTTTGTTTTGCATTGAGCTAAGACGCGAGTTTGCCGGAGGCAGAAGTTGTGCTGGCCAGCGATCCCATAAGTGACGATCGTATTATGGTGCTCCCTCACCACGAACATTCACCTGTAATGTAACGTTCAAGATTCGATTTCGATAATTACATTACAAATACCTCCTTCACCGATGAGCTTTCGCTTGTAATGTAACGTCCAAGATTCGATTAGACAGCGATTCCATCAGAGATGTGCGAGGTAGCAAAGCGTGCGTGCGTGTACCTTTGAGTGCCCCTGAGTGCGTTGGAGTGCCTTAGACTGCCTGCAAGTGCCTTTAAGTGCCAGCAAGTGCCTTCGATTGCCTACAAGTGTTTTTTGAGTGCCTTTGTGTGTCTTTGTGTGCCTGTAAGTGCCAGCGAGTGCCTGTAAGTGCCAGCGAGTGCTTTTGAGAGGCTAAGAGTGCTTTTGAGTGCCAGCGAGTGCCTTTGAGTCCCTGAAAGTGCGCTTGAGTGCTTTTAGTACTTTTGGCGCTCAAAGGTACCCGCAGGCACTCGCGGGCACTGCAGACACGTAACTTAAGTAAAGATTTGAAAACTTTTCCACTGTCTGGTGGATTCGCAGCGACCGAATGGTCCTGGTGAAGCAGGATACCGAATATTACAAGTGATGCGCAATGAATGCTCGGTTCTCCTTCCTCACCGCTGTAATGCTAGCTTTTGAACGTTACATTACAAGCGAGAGCTCGCGGTGAAGAAACGCTCTAAGATTTCATTTTTATAATTTTTTTTACAAATTTCGAAAAACACATGCCAAGTTGTGTTGTAAAATTATTCATTCATAAATTTTACTGCACGTCGCTATTGACAACAAAGTACATCAATTAGCTCCTTCGACGTAGTATGGACGTAGTTATGAATTAATACGAAACTTGATGAGCGGACAAACGTCAAAACGGCCATCATAGCGTGCCGGTACTATAGATTACTAACATCATAAACAACAAACATGATGAATGTACCACAAATAATCTTTTAAGTTATCCATTATCGACGTTCAGGCGAAAATTATATTATAAATGAGAGTAATAAAAATTTATCTTGTTTAAAATAAAACAATTAACTGCCTCCGTAGCTGTGCGGATACCATGCCGGGCTGCCACGCAGAAGTCCCTGGTTCGATCTTGTGAGTTTGTGTGTAATTTATGTGTGTGTTCCCTAGTCCGGGGTTATGTTGAGTATGATAGTATTTATATTTTATAGTCAATATAATTGGGCGTTAACTAACGCCATCTACAAATTCCATGTAAAATTTATAAGTATGACCAGGTTTCTCGTAAAAAAAAATAGGTGCCTATGTAAGTCCCTTATTTTAAACGAAACTTGTGAAATAAGGTTACTTTCCTAAAATACATAATATTCAGTCATTTTAATGGTTTCATAATTCTCGTTTGAATTAATAATGACTATCTGAAATACATCACAATTTATCTGTTATAGTTTCACCATTGCATTTTGAAAGGTTGCCTCAACTGGCTGGATCAACTTCCATTTTGAACTGTTATATTGTGGTTTGTAAAATTAATGATATTTTGTGAATTAAGATAACTACGACGTGGATAAATAGTGGCTACACTCATTAAAATATTCTTTAAGTTTTTACTTTACATCTTAGTACTGTATAATATTTATTAAATGTTCAACCAAGTGTACTGAACAATGCTGCTCTGCGATTGGACGATATTATGGTATATAAAATTGATGATATTTGCTAAATTAAGATAATTACGAGATTTATATAATTATTACAGTAATTAAATATGTATTGCCTTTGTTACCTTATACCTTTGTAATGCATAACATTTACTATTTATGCTCAACCAAGTGAGTCAAGAAATACTGCTCTGTGATTGGACGATATTATGGTGTATAAAATTAATGATATTTGCTTAATTAAGACAACTATGAGGTTACTGTAACTGTTATAGTTCTTAAAATTTGTTTCAATAACTTGTTAGGTAAAAGCTTTCATTCTCGTCAGCACTGTACAAATGTAAACGATAATCATATTGTGATTGGTCAAAATAGTATGTATGTATGAATGAATTTCAAAGGAGGTTTTGAAGGGTATAAAAAGGAATGTAAAGCTGGAGGAGACAAAAAAGTGCCGAACCGACAACCAGCTAAAGTTAAGTACCTACCTGCTTTGTAACTTGTTCTATTGCTACTGTCTAATTGTGTTGTGTAAATATAAGTAAGGTCTCTTTGCTTGGTAGTAATAATGTAAATTATTGCTACTACGTTTTGGCATAGTTTATGTACCTAAATGTGTGATTAGTTTTGTAATCCTTTATAAGTAGTTGTTGTTTTAACTTGTCCAATTTAATTAATTTCCTTTTTCTAGCACAGCCATAATTCTGTATTAACTAGTACGTTAAATCCATTGTTTTAGAAGTGCTATTACTTTTACTTTGTTTATCCTGTTACTCAAATTATTTTTTTACTAAGTACAACTAAATTACAAACAATATTGTTTTGTACTAACTCTATAAATAAAAACTGAGTCATGTTTTTGAAAGTATTGCTTGTAATTTTGTTTTCAAAATTAGTTCGCAAACGATTTTTACTATGTACATCTAATTTTGTACTACCCACTTATGGAAATAAATTTGGTTTACTAAAATTATGCTTTTCAATTTCATAGAATTTTAACAATTTTATAATAGAATCTAGTAATTAATAGACACAAATATGATTTTTTTCTAACAAGTGCGTGTGCAAAAAAATTTTTTTTTTGAAGTTACTCCAATAGTTATAATTATTAATACAAATATCTTGTTCCCTGAACTTTGGATATTTGGACACTTGGACCTTTTTTAAGTCGAGAGTGAAAAGGTATCATTCAGGTGCATGTTCCATCATCGACTTCATCGTCACGTTCCATCAGGTGAGATGGCAGTGAATTGCGTACTTAGTTTTTAATAAAAAATAATAAAAAATCTGGATTCGAACCAGTGTCTTCCAGCAAACCGTGTTAGACGCTATGCCAACTAAGCGCGGAATTAACCGAGCGGTCCTTATGAATGAAGAAATAGATTTCTTACAGATGGCAAAAAAGTCGTTAAAAAAACAAAACAAATACCTGCAACATACAGACAGACTATATATAAACTTAGAACTCTTTCACAAGGAACTCTACTGCTGAATACTAACTAGCTTCCTGCTACTGGTTTCAGTGGCACGCCAAAAGGACTCGAGTTTGAGGGTTACTTTATAAATAAATGGATCTTAATGGTAGTACGTACTGGTCTGTACAATCTTCCTACAGAAAAAGTCACTGCTTCCATCAAGGGCCACCGCCTGTATGCCACGGTTGCAGTCCACCGATGGGAGGAACTTCCGCACCGTCTCTTCGTCGTAGAGGTGGGGGTCTAGGCACATCGTGTTGTTGGCACTCGTGCAGTCAAAGCAGCGGACGGAGGTGGCTGAGGGAACAGGACTTATGATATCAAGTGTCGACACCAAAAACTCGTACTTGAAACGCCAATCCATAACAGCTGCCGTGTCACTCAGGACTTCAAATCGCAAAGGTCTGAGGAGTATTGTCACTGCGCCCGGCACCCTGAGACATAAATTGACAAGTCCCATGTGCCTGTAATTTCACCATTACCCTTCAAAACTAGAACGTACTAATACTTACATTACTGCTTAGCGGCAGAAATAGGTAAGATGGCAATACTTCTATGGACGAACTCTTTCACAAGGAGCTCTAATGTATGACTGGGATAAAGATGATTAACCCGCTACCTTAGAATAATAACGCATAGAATGATAGTTTCATATCAAACGAACTGTCACAAGTGAGGCAAAAATCAAATTCATGTTGGCTAGTTTTAGTAGTAGGTTAATTTTCGGTTTTAGTGAATATTTATATAAAAATACAAGTTGAAACGCGTTACTTCCTTGTGGAATATAATGTTAGTATCTATTTTATGTTTGTCTGACGTATTTTTACACTCATTTACCGCACATTACGTCAGTTTTAGCTAAAATTCTTGAGCTGTTCGCGGTGCAAGTTGACCTTGAGCACTGACGGCCCGCCCGCTCGTGTAGGTCCTTTGGGAGCGCTTCAATTTGCCTCACT